TTAACAGAATCCAGCACTAAACTGTGAGAGATTCTGGAACTGTTTTGTCAAATCATGCTTGCTATGTTTTTTATAATTCTCTGGAACATAATTAATATTGAACTGTAAGCACTTCTGTCTTTGTGTTGTGTCCTTTGGAAGCCCAAATACAGACAATGCTCTGATGAAACAGCAGCGCTTGAACGCATTTTAGCTCTCTCTGCTATAATGTTACAGCGCCTCTGACCAAGGCCCTTAGCTGCGCATTATGTGTGCACGGCAAACGAACCTTTGTGATTTCACAAGGGCCGAAAGTATTTTTTGTAGTCCCCAAAATTTGTTCACTGTAAAAACCAAGGTCTCCTTTTGCATTGAACTTTGAGCTTTTTACATTCAGAGATGCTGTTTATGTTCACACAGCTACACTAAACATCAACTAAAGTTTAAAATATGATATCGTAGTGGACCACCCCAAGTTTTTTGAGATCTCAAATTTATCTTGTGAGTGCCATTCACGCCTGCTGTTCTCATGTAAATACACCAGAGGCTACTGTTGACTGACTGACTGACAGACCGACCAATAACCCCACCCACCCACAACCCAATTGCAGTGTTTTAAAAAGCTTCGAGAAAAAGGAAATCCCTTATGGCCTACTGATTTTTACCACATTTTCAGATTTTATCACAGCCTTAACCTGTTATTTACTTGTTTATTTTATTTTCTGCCTCATATTTTTGTTTTACCTGCTTTCTAGAACCTTTCTAGAACCGACTAAAGTCTTAACTAAACTAAACAGTAATGAAATTAAGATGTAGAGTATGCATAGATTAGTGGCATTATTAAAGTAAACACAGCAATCAGTAAACACAGTCATGTAGGAGTTTTGGCCATATTTTCCAACGAGATCCATATACGCGGCTGTCAGTAAAGGAGCGCACACACACACACACAAACACACACAAGTTTTTTCATCGCGCGCTAAGAGTCTCGCGTTAACTCAGCACGTTAACGCTGATTACGGCCCACCACTTGTGCGTGTGTGTGTATGTATATGTGTATGTGTATATATATATATGTATATATATGTATATATATGTATATATATATATATATATATATATATATATATATATATATATATATATATATATATATATATATATATATATATATATAAAGTAAAATTACATTTATATGAAATTAGTTTTCAGAGCAGTATATGTTTTCATTGCTTTTTTGTTTTGTGATTGTTCTAAAGGTTTACATATTGAAGTCATTCACAAAATGTGTACAGTTTAATTTACATTGAGTTCACTTTCTTGTGTATGTGATATTTTCCTAACAGCATAAACAAATAAAAATATATTGTTCTTTACAGTTGAAATTCTCATTATCAGAATAAAACAGTACATGAAATAATTCAATTTAATTCAATTCAGCTTTATTTGTAGTGCTTTTACAATGTCGATTGTGTCAAAGCAGCTTCACATAACTGGTCTTAGTAACTGGATCAGGGTAGTTCAGTTTTTAGTGTTTAAGTTCAGTTCAGTTTAGCTCAGTTCAGTGTGGTTTGAAACCATTACTGAGAGTCCAAACACTGAAGAACAAATTCATCAATGCATAGTTCTACCGATCCTGAACCATGCAAGCCAGTGGAAATAAACCAATTTCTATTTTATACTCTATTTTTTGTTAATAAACAATTCAAAATCTTTCCAAAACATTCTTGAGTAAATACAATGAAAAAAAAAAATGCTAAATTGTTTCTTTTTCTTGACCACAAAATTCACACAAATATAAAATATTAAGTTTAAATCTCTCCAGAACATGTTTAGCAGGATACATTCTATGGAGTATTTTGTACGACACCTTTTTAATTTTGTTATTCAAGCAAAATTTATTTGTCAACTTCCAGGCTTTAAACCAAGAAATATGATCAAATAATGAAAGCCAAAAATATCTTGCTGTATGTAGGTTGTTTTAAAACATTAATACTTTCAATAAAAATGTTTTCACGAGGATTACCTAAGCTGATTTCTTCTGAAATACTGATTTTTAAAAGCAAGACCACACCCTTAAGAGTTGGAATTCTCTCGGTTTAACTGGTAATTTAAATATTTTAAGATTTTCAGTATAAGATAGCAAATGTCCATGAGGGTTAATTAACTGTCTAACAGAATACCATTATTGAACCAATTCTGATAAAATAAGAATTTGTTTTAAATAAAACATCCTTGTTATTCCATATAAAATAATTGTAGCGTGAAAAGTATGTTTATATACCAATTTCCATGTTGGAAGGGCTTTTCTATGAAAACTAGCCAAATGACATTTTAACAAAAAAGTTATGCCTCCCAGAGTATTGAAAATATAACTAGGAAATACATTAAAATAATTGACTATATTCTTCATGAGTTCAATTAACCATTTAATTTTAAGAGTGTCATTAAAAAGTGCCATAGTCTAAAAAGTATTCTAATCTAAAAATCTAATCCCTTTAATCTTGAAGCACTTGAAGAATCCAGCACTCAAAAATGACATTGGCTGCTTATTAGTACTTATTTAAAATGAGTTGAAACACAATTCTTAACGTTTTTTTGGGGGGACTGAGGGCTCCTAGCCTACTCTACAGCTAAAGAAAGCAATTTCCACAAAAACAAACACATCTGTTAAGTCTGGCTCGGACTGACAGGTGTTGTGCTTAATAAATTTCCATGCCAGCTGAAGTTGTGTTTACCCTTCACTAACTCACAGCTGTCATGCTATTAGAGCACAGCCCTGTTACATGGCGGGATTGATTCTTCGCTATAGGCTTGTAAAATAAAACATATGCATTTATCTAAGCATTAGCATAACAGGATTAGCCTGACCTAAAAACATGCACGTCATCCCTGTGTGGTCCACCAGAGGCCTTCACACTGATTCAGATGCAGGCCTGGAATCACTCCAGGAACACTCGAGATCAAATCCAAAAAGAGAAACATCCAGTTCTAAATACCCCGGTTCTTATTGCAGTCCGTTTGCTGAGCGAGAGTGGATGTAAGGTAATGAACTGTGGCTTAGGGAAAATCATTGCGGGGAGAAGGGAAAAAAATGGATGTACACAGACTTGAGTAATCACTTTAAAGGAAGTTTAGCGCTACCCCTGAGACAAGCACAGCATCGTGATCAAATACAGCGCAAAGCAACCTTGAAATGTCCAGGATTTTTTTGCTTTCCACTTTGCTTTCCCAAAATAAATCACTGAAAAAACAGATAACTGAAAAAAAGAACATAAATATATTCTCACCATCTGGGGTTTAATGCTGGAAAGCTCTGCCAAGTGCTTCTTGTTTTAATGCCAAATGTGACCAGAAACTGAGGGCCTTTTTCACAGCTGCTTGTGCCAACATTCTTTCATCTTTCTAATAAGACTTGCAAATAAATACATATAAATATATATGGGGACTCTATATTGGGGTGAATTTGTTTTTTAAATTAATAATAATAATAATAATAATAATAATAATAATAATAATAATAATGTTGTGTCATTTTTGTTGTTTTTATTAACAACAACATTATTATTATTATTATTATTATTATTATTATTATTATTAATAATATTAATAATACAATGATAATAATAATAAAAATAATGTTGTGTCATTTTGTTGTTTTTATCAACAACAACAACAACAGCAATATTATTAATACTACTAATAATAATACAAATAATAATAATAATAATAATAATAATTATTATTATTATTATTATTATTATTATTTGTATTATTATTATTAGTATTAGTATTATTATAATAATGGTATTATTATTATTATTATTATTATTATTATTATTATTATTATTATTATTATTATTATTATTATAAATAATAATAATAATAATAATAATAATATTTTTATTTTTGTTGTGTTGTTTTGTTTTGTTGTTTTTATTAACAACAACAACAACAACAACAACAATAATAATAATAATAATAATAATAATAATAATAATAATAATATAATGGTATTATTATTATTAATATTATTATTATTATTATTATTATTATTTTGTTGTTGTTTTGTTGTTTTTATTAACAACAACAACAATAATAATATTATTATTGTTGTTGTTGTTATCATTAATAAAACAACAATATGACACAACATTATTATTATTTTTAACAACAACAACAACAACATCAAAACAACAACATTAATAATAATAATATTCATTCATTCATTCATTCATTTTCTTGTCTGCTTAGTCTTTTCATTAATCCGGGGTCGCTACAGTGGAATGAACCGCCAACTTATCCAGCACGTTTTTACACAGCAGATGTTGTGTAATAATAATAAAAATAATAATAATAATAATAATAATAATAATAATAATTATTATTATTATTATTATTATTATTATTATTATTAAGGTTCTGTTGTCGTTGTTGTTGTTGTTTTTGTAATAATAATAATAATAATAATAATAATAATAATAACGGAAAATGTTTAATTACTCTAGTACATGCTTTGTCAATGTTTTTAGATTTTTTAAATAATATTAATAATAACAATAATATAATAATAACAACAACAATTATTATTATTATTATTATTATTATTATACTTATTATTATTATTATTATTATTATTATTATTATTATTATTATTATTATTTTATTATTATTTATATTTTAGTTCTTTATTGAAATTGCTTTAGTACTGTTTTTAATGGTTTGTCGTTTTAAAATGTTCTTAAAAGTGTGAACAGGACTTTGCTAGTACTCATTAATTTTACCACTGCATTAAAATCGAGTTAACACAATTTGTACAAGTGTCATATTGTTTCACATCAGTGTCTGCTTTAAAGCAGTCCTGTGTGGGCCTTAAAAGCACAAGGTTACAGGCTCACTAGGTTACAGGCTCAATTCAACTTTTTCTTCGTAGACGGTGACAAAAACTCTGTGGGAACACAGCTGAGGCTAGATAAAAGTCGAATGCCCTCAAATGTGCTGTAATTTAATTATTCACTCACCCATAACTCGTAATCTCTCTGCACCAACCACCACCTCATGGTCGTCTGCAGAGAAGAGCAGCTTTCCTGAACTCGATTTTACCTCCAACATTTTGCCCCGTGCATGAACTCCATGAGAACCTGGCGGAAATATATAAATTAATTAATTATGTAATATAACTTATATTGTCACTATCTTATAGTTTATAAAGAGCGCTTTCTCCATCCATGTGCCCTCCAAAATCTATTTCAAATAAGTAAACTTCAGTTAAGTAGACATTCATCATTTTCAACTGTAAATGGAAAAAACTTTCATTGAACTTTTTTCAATCGTTGAAAATCGTAAATATGTCAAAGGTTTTATGGGAGCCTGAAAATGTAAATGTTTACAATTGTGTTTCAGCACGAAGGCAATATCTAATTTAAGCTACAAAAGATAGAATTTGTTTGAAATGATGATGTGTGTCATGTGCTCACGTATGTTTTTTGGAGTATATGCTTCTGAAACTTTTTCAGCGAGTGCAATTAACAGTTTTCAAGCAAAAATCAGACATGAAGCAGAATTTATGTGAGTTAAACACCCAAAGAATGCACATATAAACGTATATAAACGTATAAACTTAAATCTTACAAATATTTAGATTTTTTTTTTTACAGCTAACTGTACTGAAATTACCAATACCTGCTTAAGTAAGTATTTACATTAAAATAATCTGTATTTATGAATTCATTAAATCCAAACAGCTAAATAGAAACTGCACATACACCAATATTGTATGATTCATAATTACTATTGACTGTTATACCTTGGTATTAAATTAAATAAATTAAAGCTGACAAAACACAAACAGATCATTGACTGCTTTTGACGGATTTTTTTTTTCTTTCTTTTTATGCACAAAGACAACAATGCGATCACATTTACATTTGATTATTAATTTTCTATAGTATTTCTGTTCCTGGATACTATCACTCATTTCTATGCAAAGATTCAAATTCGTGCCATGACCACCAAAATGTTATATTCTCACAAAATAAAAACTAAATTCTTTTTCTAATTGACATTGATCGCGGAATACACATCTGGCAACACAAAGAGTTCTGCAAATGATTGAGTAAAACCATATGATAACAGATCACATAGTAATAGTGCTGTATGTAATTTTGACACCTGGTAGTTTAGTATGGCCACCCAAATTCAAAATATTAGATTTCACCCTTGATGCACACACAGGAGCAAACATGCCAGATGATTACACAGCAAAATAGTCAACTACAGTAATGTTTTTAAATGTTTATATGTTTCAATTGCAAATTAACGGTTTGTAACTCTGAATCTGGATCTCATTTCAGAGACTACTGGAAATGGTGACTCCATTTTTGGCCACGTCTGCATAAATTAAGGCAAGCTTTGTGACTGAAATTAAATAAGTGGGCGAGTCATACAGACTAATACAAAGACAGACATTCAGGAACACACTTTTTCAAGGGAAAATCACTAATTGAAGCATTGTTGTTGTTTTGTTTTCAGATAAACAAGATAACTTATCATACTTTCTAAATATTTTCAAACCTATTATGGTGGTTTTATACTTTACAAGAGTCAAAAACTTACATACAGCATCTTCATATGGCAGAACGTCTGTTACTCCCACATATGAGAACATATTTATTTATAATAAGTGTAATTTGGTGTGTGGAAAATCAGTCAGTACTTTAACATTGCTATCTATGTGTTAATATCAAAATATCAAAGAACATACTATATGGTAAAGATTTCTCTTTATGGGAATCCAGCAATTGGACAGGACAAAAATAGGCTACATTTCATTCAGTATGGGCAAGTTTTGAGATATTGGGCTGAAAAAAAAAAGTCTTGAACCTGGCAACCCTAAGCACAAGGCCTTCACATTAGGGTTTTGTAACATGTTTTGCACCTATTTTCTATCTATGTTCATTCATTCATTCATTCATTCATTCATTCATTTATTCATTCATTCAGGCAAAGTGCAGTACAAACAAATAGCAAGTCATTGATTTACAGTCTAAACTTGTTCTAATTTGCAACGTTCAATATTGTAATTAACTTAATGACTTTTTTTTTTTACCAGCTGAAGCACAAAGCACTTTAGATTTAAATAAATGAAACACATACTTGCTCTTTCGCTTCCTTTTTAATTTAGTTTTGTATACAGTTGTTCTAGCGCCGTAACTCAAGTGAAAGTCACTTAACTAGTCCATTTAAGGCAAAATTACTTTCATTAAAATACGGCCTCGCTATTATGCTATTAACCAGCACTTAATAGTACATGCATCCATGCACATGCAATTACCACCCAGTAATGAAGTCTCTAGTCACAGTTATAAAGACTACATCATGAGAGTAACAACCTGGCTATGAAAGAACACTTTAACTCTTTCAAAATAGTCATTTAACCATCTGTCCCATAAAGTCTAACATTAGCTGCCTGGATTCATTTTCCTTCAGAGAGCGGATTGGCCCGGAGTCGCCTCTTGAGTTCAGTGAATATTTCATTTCATGCTTTCTACTCTAATATAAACGCCCACAGATGGAGCGAGAAACCTTCATTCCAATTTATAGTCTGCGAAATCTTGGGGAGCAAGACCATTGTAATTATCATAAAGAAGCTGCATGAGGGTTTTTGAGATGTCTGTTGGCCTTAAGTGTGTTTGTGCTTACCTGCAACAAGCTGAGATACTAATTGCTTCTTCTCATTGAGGATGTTGACAGACACGTTCTTAGATGACTGCAGGAACAATGGGCTTCCCTGACATGAAAAAAAAAGTGGAGAAAAAAAATGCGTTTAGAAAGATTACATAAATAATTTAAATAATATGCAAATTATAGGTGTAACTTCTATGTATTAAGTAGGATTTTTTTTGCCTTTTGCCCCCCAGAATTATTGGACCAACTTTTAATTTTTTCCCAAATCTCTGTTTAATTTGGGAAACATGTTTCAACTCATTTCTAAACATAGTAGTTTTAATAACTAATTTCTAATTACTGACTTATGTTATCTTTCCGTTGATGACAATACATATTATTTGACTTGATATTTTCCAAGACACTTCTATACAGCTTAAAATGGCATTCAAAGGTTTAACTAGGTTAATTAGGTTAACTAGGCAGGTTAGGGTAATTAGGCAAGTTATTGTATAATGAAGGTTTTTCTGTAGACTATCGAAAAAAAGGCTTAAATAGGCTAATAATTTTGTCCTTAAAACGAGTTTAAAAATTAAAAACTGCTTTTATTCTAGCTGAAATAACACAAGTTAAGTAACACATGCTTGCAAGTTAAGGTGACTTGCAAAAAAACGTTTAAGTTCAAAAACTAATCCTATTGACCTTATTCTCCACAGATGAGCGGGCGCTGCCATTTGAATCTTTTTGGCACGAGACTTCCGGTCTCATTCACTTCCATTCATTTTTAGACATTAAAAACTGTTCGTTTCGCTGTTTGATGTTGCAAACTGATATTTCCTTGTTATATTATTCTACTTGGTCTGTGTAGTCATGCAAACATTTGTTTGTAGAGCAAGTAGTTTGACCGTTTTCTGCCGTTTATTATTCCTTGTCATTTCTCCCATAGGCGACTGAAACGGAAGTTCTAAGACAATCGCGAAAACAGGCGCACTTCCGCATTTTAGAATAAGGTCAATTGAGTACTGTGAACATTTGAGTAAACGAAGCAGTTTGAGCACAGTAAAAACACAATAAATGAAGAGAACTCAAACCAACTGGGTACTGTAAAACCCAATAAGTTAAGGTAACTCAAACTGTTTGAGGAACCCGATTGCTACAAAACATTTGAGTTAAAAAATGAATCTTTATGAGTACTGTGAACTTACTCCTACTGAAGTAATGAGGTATTTTATTCACTCATTGCCTTTAACACTGAGTTCAAAACTGTTGTCAAATGAGTAGAATTAACTTTCAGTAAATTTAAGTTATCTACATTCATTTCATTTGATAAAGTTGACTGTTGGGTTTTACAGTGTATATATATTTATTCTATAAAAGGTGTGATAACCTTTCTTCCAAAATTCCTAATGTTTTCATTACAGTCATTGAAAATTTGTTTTGCTCTTATCAAATTGAATTCCTAATTCTTCTGAAGTAACAGTAACTGTATTATGTTGTCAAAAATGAATGTAAATATTTCATGGTTGTCAAACTTTAATGTTTAAGATCATCAAACAAATGTAAATAGTTAACAGTAAACACATTATGCTGGTGTTTTATTATTAGGGGAAAACAACATATGAAAAAGTGTTTGCCTAATAAATAGTTGGGCCACCCTTAGCACAACTCCAATAAAGAGTTTTTAAAAACTTGCAACGAGTCTGTCACAGCACTGTGGATGAATTTTGGTCCACTCATCTTTGCAGAATTGTTGTAATTTAACATTGGAGGGTTTTCAAGTAAACTGTAAAAAAAAAAAAAATATATATATATATATATATATATATATATATATATATATATATATATTGTAATTTTAAGTTGAATTACAGAAATTTACCAGAAATTTAAATTTAAGGACATTTCGGTAATTTAATGTCTATTATTTTATGGTGAATTTCTGTAATTTAAGAGCCATTATGTTTTGAAGCATCTCAGTTGTATTCAGGTCAGGACTGTGACTAGGCAACTCCAAATTCTATTTTTTATTTTCAGTCATTAAGAAGTGGAACTGCTTGTTTGCTTTGTCTCACTCTCCTGCTACAGAACCCAGGTTCGTTTCAGTAAAAGGCCAGCTAGCCGAACTTTCTCCTCCAGGATATTTTTAAACAAAGCTGGATTCATGATTCCATTCATAACATCAAGCCTCCCAGGTCCTGAAGCAACAAAACTTCCCTAGAACATCACACTACCAACACCACATTGTACTCGTTGGTATGGTGTTCTTTTTTCTGAAATTACTTTTATGCCACACATAATAAGACACACATCTTCCAAAAGTATTTTCCCAAAAGTCTTAAGGATCATCAAGGTTCTGGTTAAACTGAGTAGAGCCTTTGCTATTTTGTTCATTTTTATCTTGGAATTCTGCCATGCAAAACATTTTGCCCACTCTCTCCCTTATGGTGGAGTCATGAACAGTCATCTTAACTTAGGCAAGTGAGACCTGCAGAACTTTAAATGTTGTTGTGGGATTTTTGTGACCTCTTGATTGAGTTGTTTCTGTGCTCTTGTGGTAATTATGGTCAGCCAAGCTTTAGAAATGGCTTTACAACCTTTGCCAGAGTGGTAGATCTCAGTTATTTTCTTTCTCATTTGTTTTTGAATTTCTTTATATCTCGGCACGATGTATAGCTTTTAAGGATCGTTTGTTCTACTTCACTTTGTCAGGCAGGTCCTGTGTTAAGGGATTCATTGATTTTAAAAAGATATGGCTTAAGATTTTGAACTAATATGTAAAAAAACAGAGTTAAGTAATGTTTTTCTCACAGGGTTATGTGGTTTTGGATATTGTTTTAATATCTTGGACCTTGTTTTAATAATAAAATTAAAAAAAGTATTATTTGTTTTGTCTTTGACTAATATTTAAAGTTGTTTGATGATCTGAAACATTAAAGTGTGACAAACATTTAAAAAAAGAAATCAGTTAGGGGACAAACACTTTTTCACACTATCTATCTATCTATCTATCTATCTATCTATCTATCTATCTATCTATCTATCTATCTATCTATCTATCTATCTATCTATATATATATATATATATATATATATATATATATATATATATCAGTCTAATTCGGTGATAACATCAGTTTAAAACCATCAAAAACTGACAACAAACTAATTAAGTACAATTTAAAATATTTTATGACCCAATTTTAAGCATTTGTCAGACAAGTTTAATCATTTAAAATACAATAAAAAGTTTGTAGATTTATGTAAGATTTTCAGAAGTAGTGTATAGTACAGTTTTTTAAGCACACATGCACATGCACATGCACACACACACACACACACACACACACACACAAACACACGCACGCACAAATCCAAATGATTCTATATTTAAATATAAAGTCCCCACAAAACAGCTGTAAAAACATACAACGGAGCATGTGTGGGTAAATACATCCAAGGTTTAAGTGTATTTAGTCTTATTGTTGATTTTCCATTTAAAACTAATGAAACAAATATGTCAGTGCCACAGGCCACAAGACAAAATACACACAATCAAAGCACATGCTCTGTGTCTTGAAAATAAGCTTTAATATTGCATGCACTCTTGCTTATAAGGTAAATCTATCTTGTTTTACAGCTATTTAGATGTTTAAACTGAAAAGTGAGATAGAGATACTTGCTAGAAGTGATTTTGTGTGCCTTAATCACACATTTAATGCATTGTTCACCAAATAAAAATGAACATTTACTTACTATTTACTCACTCTCAAGTGGTTCTATACCTTTATGAGTTTCCTTTTTTTCATTTAAACACTAAAAGAGAAATTTAGAAACTAATTTAAAACGTGTGAACATTGACTTCGATAGTGGGAAAAATAAAGACTATGGAGATCAATAGTTATAGGTTTCTAATATATATATATATATATATATATATATATATATATATATATATATATATATATATATATATATATATATATATATTTTTTTTTTTTTTTTTTTTTTATTTTATTTATTTATTTTTTTTTTTGCAAAATAGCTTAGTATGCATTTAAGAGGGGAGAAAAGAGAAACTCAGCAGTTTTGTAACTTGTAAAAGTTAAGTAAACGATGGCAAGATTTGCATTTTTGTGTGAACTAACCCTTTAACATAACAAAATGGGTGCAAAAGAAAAATTCCTAACAAAATAAATTACAATTTGTGAAATATCCTCTTATGTAGGATTTGGTTTAAAGCTTAGTATACATGAACACTGCATGCACATCTGGGTTGACTTAAGTGTTGGGCAGATGGTCTCCTCCAAGAATGCACAAAAAGCAACATTAATGGCAACCGATTTCCATACAACTGAAAATACACAACAAACACAATAATACTGCATAAATGTATTCGGTAGTAATGACCTGTTATGCAAGCCATGGATACAGATATCTGTCATAATCTTTAGAACAATATTTCATGCTCCAGTTGACTTTTTAATTAAAGATACTATTGTGTGCCATATTAAAAGCTGGAGATAGGTTTATCATGTAAATTATGCATTGTACGTTTTGCTGCTTTGTTTTCACTCAAGTGTGAAATGCATGCTTTGTAGATGCTCTTGATTACAGCGAGAATATCTGGTTTTCTGAAAAAAAAAGTAGGTCAGAAATATATTAAAAAAACATGTCTATTGAGTTGTGTGAGAGGCTTATTATGAGGAACTCAAACCTTTACTTGACAGAAGCTGTGTTTTTCATGAAATGCACTTTTCCTTCGTTATACTCTTTGTCAGTGAGGACATGCAAATCTTGAATGAACAAACATACAGTTGAAATCAGAATTATTACACTTCCTTTGATTTTTTTTTCCCCAAATTATATTTAAGAGCAAGGAAATTTCCACAGTATGTCTGAAAATATTTTTTTCTACGGTAAAAAGTCTTATTTGTTAAATTCCGGCAAGAATAAAAGCAGTTTTAAATTTTTTAAACACCATTTTAAGGTGAAAATTATTAGCCTCTTTAAGCAATATATTTTATTTTGATAGTCTACAGAACAAACCATCATTTTACAATAATGTGCCTATTTACCCTTACCTGCCTAGTTAACCTAATTAACCTAGTTAAGCCTTTAAATGTC